TCAATAATTTAATAATAAAATGATTATAATTTATCACATATATGTGTTTATTGTGAAATATGTAATCTTATTTTATAGAAATGAACACCTCTTAAAATCCTTGGAAAAATGAGGTAGGATGTATATAGATATGGGAAAAAGTATATACATTTGTACCCTTTTATAGATGGAACATCTACCCAGAGATGTTTCAGGAAACAGAATTGACACATTAAGCAAAGTTTCTTTATACTGACCACTGAAATACCTCTAAAACATTCAATGGTAAGAACTTAGCAGTGTCTAAAAACCCTGTACACACACACACACACACACACACACACACACACACACTTTATATCTATGTAATTTACCAAGTCTAGGCTAAAAGAGGAAACTGCAAAAAATTCACTAATTGAAATGGAGCTTGGCCAAGGCATTCAATTCTAATCCCCCTTTTTCTGATCCCAAATCAGTGAGAGTACATGCTTTGTGTTTTCTGGTGAATTACAGACCTATGTAACAATCAGCATATTTTCTCAGACCAGAGCCAGCAACTCCCAACAATGAGTGTTTGTCAGTCCTAACTGGTTTCTCTAGGTGGGTGGTGAAAAAATAGCCTACTACAGTCATTAATTCTTTCCCTTAAAAGAATCATGTGTCTTGAGAAGTTCTGCTCCATCACAGGGCAATAGCCCATTTTAAATACAGTGTTTACTGATGTTTGTCCATGAATGTCATCAACAGAAGTGTTTAAATCTCACCAGGAAAGGAGGGTTTAGTTGCCAGACTTTGGGAGACAGAGTTAGTTGACCTCTGTGCTTTCAAAGGCTCTGTCAGTTAAGTGATCAATTATTAACTCCAAAGTATTTAAGCCTAATAATATAACAAAAGATAGAACAATGGATAGTATCTTAAACATTAATCATCGTCACCTTTGGTTTAGCTACTTAGGTCCTTTCCAAGCAGAATTTATCAGTGTATAGATACAGGTATTCTGGAATATCAAAGGCATCCTCCTCTAGTTTGCAAACACAGGGAAAAAGAAGAAACTGGCATCTGTAAACCTATGTAAATCTGGGGGGATTCTTTTCAAACGTTGTTTTTTGGAAAACAGGAAATACGATTGAAAACCAACTCTGTGTTTATCTACCAAAAGAAACAAAACTTTGAACTCTAACATAAATCCTAAATGATTGTCTTGAATCTCATCCCTCTTCCTACCTAATCTTCCCACAAGAAGATTCAGGACTGTGGACTTGGTAGTGGAGAAGTAATTGCTCAATCACATTGGAATCCATTGGAACCCTTTGCAGTATTAGTGCTGGCAGACAATAGAATTCTAACATATTTCTTTCTTTACTTAGAGTTCAGAACAAGAAGTCAGGCTCTTGGAGACCCTCTCCCTGACGCACTGCTCTTAACATTTCCAAGTTACAAACTGGGAACCGCTGCTATCTCACAGCACTAATTGCTACTTCCATTAGTACCTTCCTCTTTTTATATTACACTCACATCTTATTTTAGGACTTTATATGAACATTTTCAGGATGAGTTTGGCAAAATCGTAAAGAAGTACTTAACACAATTAGGTCACAGCTTTTAGCAGACAGAAAAAGAAGTGGATGTTAGCCTCAGAATCTGAAGCGATAGATTAAAACCCAGTTCTTCCAAGATAGAGCAAAATGGGAGGACTTAAAATGCAGCTCTGAGTAGCTGCGTCTCGTTGGCGCCAAGCTTCTCCAGGTCTTCAGCTCAGTCACTTCCTAAACAGGTGCTGAGCTTCCAGTCCCCGCCAGGTCTCCTCACTGACACGCAGGGACTTCAGTTACACTCGCAGCCCTTTCACATTTGCCCCCATGAAATTCTGTTAGTCTTGTCGAACGGCAGTATTTGCCATTCTAGGCGAACTCCTTATGACAGTCTGGAAAGAAATTAATCTGTTAATTGACTAAAAATGGTCTTTAGACTGACCCGACTGTATTTAAAAAGTCAACAAATGAAGCACAGTATAAAGTCGTCTCATTTTTCTGCCAAAGGTTGCTTGGAGTAAATGTTAACCTCTCCCCTGTCTCAAGGCAAAAACACCATGCTCCTCCTACCACTCCCAAGAAGCAAGAAAAGAAAATCTTAAATAGCCTTTTAAGAAGAGTGTTTAGCGCGGTCTGGATGGAGGTCGGGTCAGCTCCAGCTGCGGCCGGCCCCGAGCGCTGGGTGCGCTGCCACTTGGCTCTCTCCGCTAAGCTGGGCCCCGCCTTCCCCGCCCCGCCCCCATGGGCCTCGGTGGGTGGGGGCCTCGGCTGCGCCGACCGCCCGTGCGGCAGTGCTGCTGTCTCTGAGCCCAGGAAGTCACACCCGTCTCGGGCTGGAAGCCGGAGCTCCAACCCACGTGGCGGCGGCGGGCGAACCCAGCCGCTGCGGGGAGCGCCTGTTGCGGGTCCTCCCTTGGCGCGGGCTGAGCGAGTCGGGGCGGCCCCCAGACCCAGCCCCCTTTGGGCGGGGCTGGACCACCTCCGCTCCTCTAGTTCTTTCCCACCCTTCCACCCCGGCTCGCCTCTGCTGTCGCGTTTGTTGCCGCTGGGAGCGGAAAAAGACTATCCTAAAACGAGTCTCGAGATTCAGACTCAAACCCGGAAACAAACCCTTCCGGTCTGTTCCTGGCTGTTTGAACGTAATCTGCCCCATCTCCGTTCCTTTCTTCTTACCCTCCCCTCCGCAGTCCTTTTTCCTTCCACTTTCCTTCCTTCCTTCCCTTTTTTTTTCCCTCCCGCTGCGCGCCTTCCATCCACTTTCCCGTACGACGCGCGCCATGAAGTTGAGGAAGTTTAAGTTTTGGATTAGGAGCCCTTCTTTTGCAATATCCTGGGGCGGGGTCCTAGCGTCGGGTTCAGGTGGTCAGGGGTTTTGAAAGCACAGCATTTGTATTATCTTTCTTAAAGACACCCAGGGTGGCGCGTCAAGACCTCCGAAACCTGCTCCACCCCGGCCATGTGCGTTCTCCCACTAAGCGGCGAACTCGACCCACGGCGCCGCGTGCGTTCCAGCCGACTCGCGGGAAGGCGCCGCTGCACTTTGCACAGACCAAGACATTTTTTCAGGGTCCTCCAAAACCCTAGATGTACGCCGCAGATTGTGGAGTGGAAAATGAATGACTTCAGGGAAAACTGGGGCCTTCCATCCCTGAACACAAGGTTGTGAAAGCGGCTCGCTCGGTCTGGGGGGACTCGTTTTTCTGCACCCGTGTGGGGCTTCTCCATCAGGGGGCGCCCACACCCGCTGCAAAACTCCCAATTCCTAGACATCTAGGTTCTGCAAGTCCTAGGCGCTGAACTGGGGGCAGATCCGAAGGAGCGCACCGCCTCCCTCGCTCCTCCCTCCCTGCTGCCTTGGAGGACGGGGAAGGCCGGGATTTCACACTAGCCATTCATTTGTCAGTTGTGGGGGAGGGGTCGGGGAAGCCAGAGAGACAGAACAGAGGCTGGGAGAGGGGAAGGGAGGCAGAGAAGATGGAGACAGAGAGGGAGACACAAAGATGAGAAACGAGACCCAAACAGAGAGACTCCGCCTCGGTGTGTGAGCCGCAAGGCAACTCTCCCGGCGCCGCGTAGATTTCTCCCCCCTTCCCGCAGCATCTCCCAGGGACATGCAGGGCTAGCCGGGACGCAGTTGGATTCGAGAGCAAATAGTTTAGGCTATGACACTATTTTTCTACCCTGTTCTCCACTGCCTAACACCCAGACCGCTCCACGCCCAGTGACACAGACCACGAGCCAGGACAACCCGGATGCCCTCGGTCCACACGCAGCAGGGATGTCGCCCTACAGCGCCCACGCCTCTGCAGGACGGTGGGACGCTCCAACCGAGGATGTCCCCCGGGGCTCCCGGCACCCGCGCTCCGCTGCCGCTAGACCTGCCAGTAAAGTTGCTCAACTAGATCGGAGAACTAGGAGGGGGTGGGGGATATGTAAGGAAACGGAGGACTCCTGTAGTCTGGGCGAGAGGACTGGACCCAGAGGCCCCTAATTCGGGTCCCCTAGCCACCTTTGTCTGCAGTGCGCTCTGGGTGCCGGTTTGTTTGTTGAGATGGGAGCGACAGACCCCATTTAGCTCTTCAGGGTGAGAAAAAAAAAAATCTTGCATACCCCTGCCGATTCAGAACAGGGTTTTCCCGCCCAGGGGCCTCCCAGTCCTCCGCGGGGCTCCAATAACCCCACCCCCCATCCTCTGCTCCTTCCCTTCTGGCCCCTGCGCACCGCGCACAGGACAAAAGAACCCAGGGACACCGGGAGAGAGCCGTGACAGTCCCCAAGTCGCCCAAGAGACACGGCAGGGATCCTGCACCTCCCCCGGCCGGACCTCCGCCCAGGCTGCTGGCGGTCTGAAAGGGTCAGGTCCGCACAGGTCCCAGGCTGCTTGGGCGCCGATCGCACTGTCAGGAGCTGCCCGGGAATGGCTTTCCAGGAACACCAGGCACTGACCACACACCAGGGGCTGGGAAACCAGGTGGCCTGCACCGAGGCGCCTTCGGTGACTTGTTTGTGGGCAAGTCTTGGTAGTCCCCATTCAAACTTTTGCCTCGAGCGTGTTAAGAACAAAAAATAATCAAAGTGCCAAAGGTCCCTCTCTTCTCTCCACCTCAAGAACCCACTACTTTTCTATGATTTCTCTACAATTTATTCCCTCCCTTCCCCCAATTCCGTTAGTCATTTTACCCCCACTCCACCCTGGGCTTCTTTTGTCTGAATCTTTTTCAACACCGAGGTCCCTCTGTATCCCTCTCCCCAAAAGCCCTTTTGAAAGTTACCTGCATTTTTTAAAAGCCTACATTTTCTTAACTTCCCCTTACAGCTCCTTGCCTTTAATTAAAGCCTTCTACCAATTGCAATGTACTTCTTTTTTCTAAGCTCGCGCGTTTTTTCTATAAGTTGTTTTTTTTTTTTTTTTTTTTTTTTTTTTTTAGGGGGGAACAAAAGAAATGTGATTACCTTGGAAGGCGGCTTATTGCAGTTTGGGGGGAAAATTCACCGCAGCCCTACGCGACTTGACTCGGCGTTGCCCAGGCGGGTCACATAGGAAACGTGGTGGCCCGGGGAAGGGTGCGGAGGGTGCGGGACGGCGCTGGTAGACGCGGGAGGATGCGGGGCTGGCCGAAGATCCTGGTCCCAGCTCCTGTCCACAACACCTAATATTCTCGGCTGTTGCGTCCGCGCGCCTGGAGGTCTTCCCCAGAAAGGCTCGGGGCAGCTCGCCTGCAAGTTCAAATGCGGGTTGTGACACCCATCATCATTATATCACTGTACCGTCAGCGCCGAGGAGGAGACTCAGCGAGAAGAAGGAGGAGGGAGAGGAGGAGGGTTCATTCACAGGCTCCAAAAGCGCTCCGCAGCTTCAGCCACTCCTAAGAGCCCAGGCTTGGAAAGCAGGCGGAGGGGTTGGAAAGGCAGCTCCCCGCGCCTGCGGTAGGGACCGCCTGCCTCCCTCCCCAGGCACTCCCACCTCTTAGCGTTTCTTACTGACAAGAAGTACCAATCGGCTTGGGGACAGCAGCACTCCCCATTCAGGGACTCACTCAGTAACGAAGCTCTGCTCTCGGAAACCACTGCCCTCCCACTCCTCCCCCACCCCCATTTCCCCGCCCCCAGTGCAGCTAGTTCTGGGTTAGGGGAAGGGAGCCCCCAGGCTCTTATGGGGCAGGCCAGCAATAGACAATTGAGTACACTCAATTCTTCTCGGGAGCATACAAAACTGTAAAATCAGCAGAGAACTTGGTTACAGCGTGTTTACACGCCCACAGAGCTTGCCTGTCCCATCAAAGGGAAGTGTCAGGCTCAAGACTCCGGCCAACCTGAAAGACACACTCAGAAAACGAGATCCTTTGGAGACCAAGAGGGAAAGTGTAAGAATTCCCCACTGCACTCCCAGGGAACTGCCCGATGGGGAGCCCAGCGTCATAGCACCATCCACAATGACCCTGGTAATAAAGGGCTGGACAGGAAATTCCCCCAAGCAAATCCCTTGTCGGATTCAAAGAGAATCCTTTCCTCTGCCACAGATCTCTCCCTACATAAGTCTAGCTTCTGCTTTCTTCGTTCTTCCTTTCAGTCGTTCAAAGAATATTTGACTATTTTCCTGAGTAACAGGGACACCTTGGAAGTATCAGTCACCTTTCATGCTGTTCTGGAAATAAGACCATACTCTTTCATGCGTTTATGCGATTTTTTTTCTTCAGTCAGGCCCACCCCACTGTGTAAACAGCATCAACACACGGAAGCGTCCCCTGCATTGTGTTACAGAAGATTTCCAATAGGACCTCACAGAGCAAAGGGTCAAACAGTTGACACAAAGGATTTCTGTCCCCTTAGAAAAGAGAGACTTTGGATTTTCCTTTTCTTTGAAGTGAGGTATGAGTTTATACATAGGAACAAAATAAATCCAAGGTGCACATCAGTATAACACTAGGGACACTAGAATGGATGGCAAACTTTTCCTTCTACGCAAATATGAAAGTATCCTCACAATTCTCTCTGAAGCCTCTACTTAGAAAATTATATTAAACATAGGGCCTCAGAACAGTAGTGATTAATGATGAAAGCCAATTTTTACTCTCAACTCCTTTGATTAGTTTGGTTTAAACTTAGGCTTTAAAACTTTTAGTAACCTAGACTCCTGTGCATACCCATTTATAAGATTTCTTTTATACTTTTGTAATCTGTAGGCATTCAGCATGGTCACTGATTTTAAGTGATAAACAAGTAGAAGGCTTGTCAGGATACTTTTAATTCTCAAAATGTGCATCTTTCATTTCTTTTGTTATTTATCAGCTCACTGCAGTGAGTAATATAAGTTACATCATTTGAAAATCAATTTTTTTTTGCTGTGAATTAGTTAGTAGATTTGTTGTACTGCCATTCCAAACACTGAAATTCAGTTTCATCAAATGTTTAGAATGATAGAGTTGTAGAGAGGATCTGACTTCAACCTTCAACATACAAGCAAACTAAGGCCCAGAAAGTGACTGTCCCAAGGTCACACAATCAATAGTCCAGTCGTCTTTTCAGGGCTTCTAATAACAACTTTATATTCAAGATTACTTGATTTAGGAAGAGAGAGAAAAAAATAAAATGAATCTTCGTTGAAATACATACTCCAGACATTAAGGTAGACCTTTCTGTGAAACACTTCAAGATATGTATTTTTATTTTTATTCTTAAATTTGAGTAAATCTAGTTGCATTTCAAAGAGTTCACGTAACCTGCCCAAGGCCATTTGGTAAGTGAGAGATCTGCCGGTCTCAAAAGCTTATTATGTATTACCCTTTTATCCCTTTATTATATAGTTAAGTAAAACCTTTCAACAGACGAGAACTAGAGCAAAACAAGCAACTAATAGCAGAATAATGCCCATTTTTATGGAAATGTTAATAGTTAACACGCACTATAAATAATGCCATCTGTACATAATGGAATATGATTGAAAGTGATGGGTTAGATACTTTTTACACTCTGAGATGTTTTCATTTATCTTGCCAAGTTTGATTCTCTAATCTTTCAAAATTTATAGTTTCTTTTAATGCCCGTAGACATTACAACCCTTGACCAAATACTTCTACAGGGCAAAGGCACTTTCTCAGGGCTGACTTAAGGAATTTGAATGTGGACAATGTTGAAAAGCTTTATACTGCCTGTCTTTTCTCTTCTTTGGCTTGTAACATTATTATTCAGAAAATTAAATACTTCTTCAGGCTATCAGATAACTAAAATGAAATTATACCCCATGAATATCTTCTTTCTATCTCTAAGGCAGACTTTCCTCTCTAGCTATCCAAAAGAGAGAATGGATAAAAAAGAAAAAGGAAAATATACCAGGTATATTTAGAATAAAGACTATGTTTGTATTCTTATTTCTATATAACCGTTTTAAGGACTTTCTTTCATCAAGATAAAAAAAATGAGAGAGCATTTATTTCTGATTCTCTATTGTCTAACAAAACTATCAGAAGTTTTTGAATGGGAAAATATCTGTTTTGCAGGTTTTATAACTAAAATTGTATTTATTTGTCCGTTACACTCAAGCCTGAATCAAACAGTAATTAAATTTTATTATGTGTGTCCCCCTTTAAATCATATCCTTGTACTGGGGATATTCTTTGTGAAAACTCCAATATCCCAGGTATAAATAAAGCAAGATCTTCATTCACAATGCTTGTGTCTAAAAGAAACCATAAGCTATGTGCCTTGCTTCCTTGCTTTGATGTTGTCTTTGGTAACTTGGCTGAGCTCAGGGGCAGCAAGCCAATGACTTGGAGAGGAAAGGTGTAAATGGTTGATGTGTCTCCAGGGAATTTTATTATCTTCATCTAAACCTCCTTCTGAGGTTCGTTCGGATCACATTTCAGACTTCTCTTTTTTTATTGATCAGGTGAAGTGTTCTTAGACATGGCATCATCTGTTGCTGCTCTAGGGATGACAAGACTAATTCTAATTCTAATTCAGAAAACAAAGACTTCAGTTTCAACTCCTTGGTCTGACTGGTCCTAGGCACGATGAAGCAAATTATCCTCTCTGGAAGATGCTATAATGCTACAGATTAAAAATCCACTTTAAATAACTTTCAAAGACCCTAGAAAAAGGAAGCCAATCCTCTAAGATTGTGTCACAAATAAAAAATAAAATAAAATAAAATAAACACTACCGATTAGAGACAGACATTCTATCCAGCATTTTCAATTCTCTTTGGCTTTCTAGGAAATGCAGAAATATAAGCTCTTTGTTGTGTTCTTTTTATTCTTAAAAGAGAAATCTTGCAAAAGGCAAAGTGATAGTGGCAATCTCATTGTGCTTTAACCTAAAGTATATAAATTACTCTGATAAATTAAACACAGACAGATTTTCTTAGAAAGCCATAAAACATTAGATTTTTCCCAGAAATCAGATACTGAGTTTTTGCTCTCCAACCCTCAAATCAAAATGTTACAGTAAAATGTTTTAATATTTTTTTTCTCCTTTGCTATAAATGTCCTGTTCATGGTTGAGCAGATTTTTCTAGAACTTAGCTGAAAGACCATCTACATCATGACAGAACTATGCAAGCCAAAGCCAAGTTCCAACATGGAGTGATGGGAGAGGCCGGGCTGCTGAGAGGAGATGACTTCATTAGTGAGAAGAGAGGCTCTCTGAGTCGGTCCTCAAGGCAGCCAAGTGGCTCAGCACATCTGCACTCACCCTGGGAGGCTGCCTGGAGCAGAGCATCAAAAACGCTGTCTTTTTTATAAAGAAAAAGATGAAGGCATAAAGAACGCAGTCCAACTAAATTGAATCAAAGACAGTATCACTCTTACTCCCTCCTTAGTCACTTTCTCAAAGTCTTTTTTTTCCCTCCCCACAGTCTGAAAAATATAGGTTGTTCTTATAAAGCATTTGTCTGACTGAAGCAAGACAAACTGAAGAGTCTGATTTCTGAACGCAAGGAAGAGGTAGAGATCTTAGAATCAATGAGGCAGGGTGGAATACAATGCAGAGCGGTTTCTTAAGAGGCAAAATTTTGCAGTTGCTGTTTATTTTCAGCTGTTACCAGTTTCCATTTATTTAATTAGACTACAGTGGGGCCGAGACAAGAAACGTAATGAAAGCTTCTGCAAGTGATGGCATCCTCACGGTGCAAAAGGATACATGGCATCGGTAATGTTTCTGTGGTGAGCAAAGGTAGAATGCAAGACAGAAAACAAAGACACCTCTATGTAGTGAGAAAAGTCTTCATGGGTATCAGCTAGCATGTACAAGCAGCAAGCATACATTCCATTTTTATTCTGTTGATGAAAAGAATTGCAGGACTAATTCTTATTCCTATTAAAATATGAGAAATCACACTGAACCCTACAAATCAAAGGAGGTCAAACATTTGCTGTAATTATTCCAAAAATAAATAAATAAATAAGAGAAAAATATCTGTAAGACTCAGCAAATAATTATTACAAACTTACCATTTTTCATATTTTCTCTCTTCAATTCGACAAAAGTTTATTGAACATCTTTTACGTGCATTGTTTTAGATGGTAGACAGTATTCAAAAAAGTAACAATTGTTTTCCATCCTCAAGGAGTTTATAATCTCTCCAGAAAAAAAAAAATAACTCATAGGATTAGCCATAGTTACAATTGATCTATATAATGACTAGTGAACTTAGAAGAAAGAGTATATAAATATTTTCATCTCCATTGGCTGGTTCAGCTAGACATCATTTAAAAAAACATCCCATTGACTACAAATGGATAAAGGGAAGATGTTAGTTCAGCAAATCTATTTTCTTTACTGGAAAACCTTTTTCATGCTCATATTCTATTAACACTGTATCCCAGGCATTAACTTTATTGCATACGACCAAATCATGTTTCTTATTATCTTATAATGTATTGTTGTTATTTTACCAACATGTTGGTATATATATCTACGAACTATATAAACAAGATAGTTGATAAACTAACATAATGTTACCTTTTCCATATTGGTAAAACCCCAACATGTTGTCAGGGTTCATTATAAGTGATAAATCAAATATTCATACCATGTGGAAAAAAAAAAGAATGGTAAAGAAAAACATTGGATGTCATCCTAATAAGAAAGGAAGCTCAGGGAAATTGAACACTCTCAGGATACCAGCATCTCTGACAAATGCAGCATCTCAGTATCAAATGTAGTCACTAGAAAACAAGAGAAAAGAACAATGTGCTAAAAATTCTCCTTCTTAGTTACCATAAACTTAATATGATTTAAAATAAAATATCCAATATCCAATCTGTAGGCTTCCTTCAAAAAAGTAAGTTGAGAGTGTGTAGTGGCCCTCCCTACCCCCATTTCCACAACTCCTTTGCAACTTTTTGTCTCCTCGTTTCTCTTGCGGCCTCTGTCTTCCTCCCGCCTCCTCCTTCACGTATCATCTCACAAGGTCACCATCTCAGTTTGGATTCCCACAGCAGCAAACCCTGTGACAAGGATTCAAATGCAGATAGTTTATTTGAGAGATAAGATCAACGACCATCTACAGGGAAGTGGGAAACAAGGCAGGGAAGGAAAGGAGGATGGCCAAACGTGCATTTCCAGCAGGTTGCACTCTGGATAAGTGGAGCTCATTCCCATTAGAAATGCTCAGGAACAGTACAGAACAGACATGCACCTCAGAAGCACCCCATCCGAGAGGTGAGGGAGCTGGAGTATTTATACACTTGTTGGTGGAAGGCTTCTCCAACCGGTGTTTGTCCTCTCGCATTTCTGCCATATGCGCCGGCAGACCGGGCTCTGGTTTATTTCCGCAAGGGACCACTGAAAGCAATAAGCTAAAAGACGCAGGTAGGGGCTGCAATTAGAACTTGGACCAGCATGCCCAGGAATGACACAGGTGAGGGGCTATGGGTGGGGTACCAATTACATCTGTTATAATTCCCAAAATTCTCATCACTACCAAGCATGCGTAGGGTTGCAGGACTGGCAGCGACAGCTTTGTTACCTTGGTTGGAGCAGGATAAGACGGTGAGTCTCAGGATATTGGAGAGGTGTGTGAATTCTTCCATCACCTCTTTCCTCTCTTAGCCCCTTTCCTCTACCGGGATCAATCCTACTGCTACCTTCATACACCCAGGGTTACCTCATTCGCTAGATCCCCAGCCTGAGTCTCAGAGCTTCTTCTCCCTCCCAGAGCCCTAGTTTGATTCCCTCCCATCGCAATTCCTGGGAAGAACTATCCAGATAAGGCGTGAAAACTATTGTGCTAGGAATCATAAATGAACCTTCAACTCATGGTAGTTAAGGTCCAGAAGTGCTATGAATTCACCTAGTCCAAAGTCTTCTTACTTCAGATATATATATATATAAAATAAATGTAAAATGATTACATCAATCGAGAGTGCTCTACACCTGAGAATGTCATTAGAGAGTAGAGATGAAAACAGGAATATCACATAGTCTGCTTAGAGAAACATTGCAAACTCAAATAATTTACTGAGGCCATGAGGATATCACAAAAGAGTAAAGTAGAGAAGTAAACACTAGAGAATAGTGAGGAGTCTCTTCAACTAGACAGCTCATTACTGCTTAGTTCAGCCAATTGTAACGCGGGGCTGTTTGTCCAGTATTTCCAGCTTTTAAAATGTTAAACAGGTCAGAAAAACTATTCTGTGGCCTGAGTCCCACCCAAGGGATGCCAATTGCCACCTTAAGCTTAAATGATCAAAGGCAAGAAGGATGGGAAAGGAGCAGAAACGGTACTCGTGTTGTTCCCTTAATCCACTCTCTCATCATCTTCTTCTTCTTTTATTTCTTATCACTAAACACCCTCATGAATCCTCAAGAGGCAGTGTGCTCTGCAGAGGCTCAGGAAGGGGTAAAAGCAATGACAGGGAAAGTTCAAGGAAGAAGAAAGGGACCAACACACCAGGATTTCTGAAGAAACAAGGAACGCTGAGACCAAAGTGTAGAAGGCAGGCAGGACGCCTCGCTCCCTTTCTTGGTCCTCACCATGTGCCACCAGCAGCCCAGTCTCCTCTTGAGCCCCTGCTCCAGGGACCGAGAAAGTGTCTTTGCCCTTTGCAGTTGAGGAAGGTGAAGCCCTGGCAACCCAAATGTAAGTGTGGTTGTATTTCCTGAGAGTATCTTAAGCAATAATACGTTAATTCTGTAGTCCTCATGCACATTCTTAACCAATAGACTTCACGTGATTTGAAGGAAGGTTATTTTGTAGATCCCACTCAGGGAGTTTTAATAATTAAAACCTGCAAATTTTCTTTCTTTCCAATCACTGCCTAAACTAGTATGTCAAATATCTCCTCTGCTGAGATTAAGGTTCTTGAATGTTGGATAGATTTCATATCTATCTGAACACTTTTAATTAATAAATGCCTGTTTTTACAGTATAAAATGCTAATCTCATGTACTAATTAAGGCTTTCCCTCTAGCAAAGCTTCTATGCCTATGGCTCAGAGGGGAATAACTGGGCAGGGAAGTCTGCTTTTTTTTTTTTTGAGACAGAGTCCCGCACTGTCACCCAGGCTGTAGTGCAGTGGCGCGATCTGGGCTCACTGCCAACTCCGCCTCCTGGGTTCAGGCAATTCTCCTGCCTCAGCCTCCCAAACAGCTGGGCCCACAGGCCTGCGCTGCCACGCCCAGCTAATTTGTGTGTGTGTGTGTGTGTATGTGTGTGTGTGTGTTTAATAGGGATGGGGGTTTCACCATGTTGGTCCAGACAGTCTTCGATCTCCTGACCTCTATTATGTGAAAAATACCATTGGAATTTTGATAGGAATTGTATTGAATCCATAAATCATCTTGGGTAGTATGAGGCTCTTTACAATATTGATTCTTTCAATCCACAATCACAGGATATCTTTCTGTATGTTTTGTTTTCTCTTCTTCAGTTTCTTTTTTCAATGTCTTACAGTTTTTATTGTACGGATTTTTCACCTCCTTGACTTATTTTACTTCTAATTATTTTATCCTTTTTGATGTTTTTATAAATGGAGTTGGTCTTCTTAGTTTGTTGTTAATGTATAAAAAGTCAACTAATTTGTTTTTTGGTTTTTGTTTTTATTTGTTTGTTTTTGAAATGGAGTCTCCTTCTGTCGCTCAGGCTGGGGTACAGTGGTGCAATCTTGGCTCACTGCAACCTGCACCTCCCAGGTTCAACTGATTCTCCTGCCCTAGCCTCCCAGATAGCTGGGACTACAGGTGTGTGCCACCACACCTGGATAATTTTTGTATTTTTAGGAGAGATGAAGTTTTGCCGTGTTGGCCAGGCTGGGTCTCGAATTTCTGACCTCAGGTGATCTGCCCACCTCAGCCTCCCAAAGTACTGGCATTACAGGTGTGAGCCACCACGGTTGGCCTCAACTGATTTTTGTGTGTTGATTTTGTATACTGAAACCGATTTGCTTATTAGACCTCATAGTTTTTTTGGTAGAGTCTTTATAGTTTTTTAATTTTTTTGTTTTTTGTCTTTATATGTTCTCTATATAAGAATATATCATCTGCAAACAGACAATTTTGTACTTTCTGCCAAATTTGGATATCTTTTATTACTTTGCCTTGTCTAGTTGCTCTAGCTAGAATTTGCACCATTTATGTAGAATAAATCGACAAGGAAGTGTAGCTTACATTCAAAGTTTCCATGTAGATTTTGGTCTGAATGATCAATCCTTGCTGAAAGTGAGGTACTAAAATCCTCTATTATCATTGTATTGCTGTCAAGTTCTCCCTTTATATCTATTAATATTTTCATTATATATGAGCTACTCTATTGTTGGGTGCATATATATTTATAATTGTATATATTTTGATGAACTGACTCTTTTATTATTACGTATTGACTTCCTTTGTCTCTTTGCAGTTTTTGATTAAAGTCTATTTTGTCTGCTGTAAGTCTAGCTACTCCTACTCTTTTTTTGGTTTTCAATTTGCATGGAATACTTTTTACATCCTTTTACTTTTAATCTATGTGTGTCCTTAAAGCTAAATGAGCCTATTCTAGGCAGCATATAGGTGGGTCTTGTTCGTCTCCTTTTAAAAAAATCCATTATTCATTCAACCATTCTATGTCTTTTGATTGGAGAATTTAACCCATTTATGTTACAGATCAATATTAATATGGAAGGCCTTATGTGATAATCATAAGTCCTTAATAATTAAAATGATAATTTTTAATTATTTTCTGGTTTTTTTTAATAGATATTTTGTTTCTTTGTTCTTTTCCTGGCAGTCTTACTTTTTGATTTGATGTTTTTTGTAGTGATGTGTTTTGACTTCTTTATCTTTTGCATATCTATTATTGGTTTTTGCTTTATTACTATGAGACTAACATGTAACATCTGAGAGTTATAACAGTCTGTTCTAAGCTAATAACAACTTAGCTTTGATAGCATATAAAAATTATGCTTTTAGTCCCCTCTTCCATTTTGTTTTTGATGTCACAATTCACATCTTTTCATACTGAGAATCTATTAAAAATTATTGTAGCTATAGTGATTTTAATAGTTTTGCCTTTTAAACTTTAGGCTACAAATGTAAGTTATTTATACATCAACATTATGGTATTAGAATATTCTGAATTTGTCTATATACTTACCTTTAGCTTTCATATTTTTTTACATTAATGATTTGTATCATTTCATTTCAGCTTGAAGGATTTCCTTTAGTATTTCTTGTAAGGAAGGTCTAGGGATAATGAGCTCCTTCAGCTTTTCTTTGTCTGGGAAAGTCTTTATCCTTCATTTCTAAAGAAAATTTTGCCACATAAAGTATTCTTGGGTGGCAGTTTTTTTTTTTTTTTTCTTTCAGTGCATTCAAAATATCATCTCACTCTCTCCTGGCCTGTGAGGTTTTTGCTGAGAAGTACACTGTTAGCCTCATAGTGGTATACTTATATGTGAGAAACTTCTCTTGCTGACTTTAAGATTCTCTCTTTGTCTGTGATTTTTGACAGTTTGGTTATAATATGTCTTTCTGAAATCTTCTTTGGGTTAAACGTGATTAGAGCCTTTTGGGCTTCATGTATATATCTTTCCTCAGATTTGAAAAGTTTTCAGCCGTTATTTCTTCAAATAACCTTTCTGTACATTTCTCTTCTAGTTCTAAAATTTCTATAATGTGAATGTTAGCACTTTTTATGCTGTTCCATAAAGAATTTCTTTATTCCTTTTTATTCTTTTTTTTCCTT